TGGCTTTGCTCCCAGAAAAAGATATAAGAAAATAAGTCTTTTCTTATAATTTGTTGGTGGGATTTTGCTGCCATAACAATTTATAAGAAAAACAATTCTTACATTTTTTGGTGGGATTTTGCTCCCAGAAAAAATTATAAGAAAATAAATGTGTTTACTATATTTTTTTGCGGAACTTGACCACCAGAAAACATTATAAGAACAAAATCGTTTTTTTGGTGGAACTTGACCCCCAGAAAGAAAAGTAAAAGCACCTTCTTCTGGTAGCCAAACTCCGCGAAAAAAGTCAATCCTCCAGCCCATGAAGACAACACAGCATTTGTTTCTGGTTTTGAAGCTTTTTTGTGTAGTTCATATTCTCACACGTGCTGCCTCAGACCCCTTTCCCACAGACCCCTTTTCTCTAAATTTTTAGATGTCAATCTAAACTTATCTAAAACCACTCTAAAACACTCTAAACCACTCTAAGCCACTCTAAAACACTCTAAAGCACTCTAAACCACTCTAAAACACTCTAAAACAACAATTCTAAAAAGGAACATTAAAATTCTACTCTTAAGGTCTCTAAGGCTATCTAAAATTTTAGAGGATGTACAATACGTCAAAACAGTGATGAAGTGATTCATGCTGGGCTGTGAGCACGATGTCACTAAATTCTAAAATGGCAGATGTAAGACACTCTAAAATTTTGGAGTGGCAAATGTGAGATGCGCAGGGATGAATCTGGAAAACAATCTCACTCTAAACCACTCTAAAATTTTAGAGTGGGTTGCACTCTGATTACCGTTGCACTAACATGGCTTTGGAAAGCAACCTATCTCTAAACCACTCTAAGCCACTCTAAAACTTTAGAGAGGTTTAGAGTGGTTTAGAGTCAGCTGAATGATGGTATCCATAGGAAAATCCTTATGTAACCTTTTTGGATAGCTTTCCCCAAGCTAATTCTGGACCACAGACCCCCTTCTACAGACCACCACTCTAAAATTTTAGAGTGGATTAGAGTGGTTTAGAGAGGTTTAGAGTGGTTTAGAGTCAGCTGACGGATAGCTTTCCCCAAGCTAATTCTGGACCACAGACCCCCTTCCACAGACCACCACTCTAAAATTTTAGAGTGGTTTAGAGAAGTTTAGAGATAGGTTGCTTTCCAATGCCATGTTAGTGCAACGGTAATCAGAGTGCAACCCACTCTAAAATTTTAGAGTGGTTTAGAGTGAGATTGTTTTCCAGATTCATCCCTGCGCATCTCACATTTGCCGCTCTAAAATTTCAGCTGAGAAAGTTTCTTCGGTCAAAAAGACCATCAAAACGTCCAACAAGTGACTCGTGTCAGCTCTGAAAGACTCCATGCCAGACCCCTTTGCCACAGTAGTTTTTCCACTCTAAAATTTTAGAGGTGTTTAGAGTATTTTAGATGAAAGGGGTCTGTGGCAAAGGGGTCTGACATAATATGTGATATTCATGAGATTGCAGAAATCCTATGAATACGGTTGCTCACAAATAAGATGTTTGTTTCTTATAGTTTTTCTGGTGGTCAAGTTCCACCAAAAATAGGTGTTCTTCTTATATTTTTTCTGGTGGTCAAGTTCCGCCCAAAAATATAGTGAAAAAAGAATTTCTTATACTTTTTCTGGGAGCAAAATCCCACCAAAAAAATATAAGAAAAACATATGTTCTTATAGGCTTTTTTCTGGGATTTAAGAAAAACAATATTTTCTTATAATTTTTTCTGGTGGCAAAGTTCCACCAAAAAGATTTCAGAAAACGTATTTTCTTAGATGTTTTTCTGGGAGCAAAATCCAACCAAAAAAATGTTTTTCTTATATTTTTCTGGGAGCAAAACCCCACCAAAAAAACTATAAGAAAAACTAATTTCTTATATTTTTCTGGGGGCAAAATCCCACCCAAAAAATTATAGGAAAAACAATATGTTCTTATATGTTTTATGGAAGCAAAAAAACAACACAAAAATTATAAGAAAAAACTTTTTTCTGGGAGCAAAGGTCCACCAAAAAAATATAAGAAAAAAAGTACTTTCTTAAAATTGTTCTGGACGCAAAATCCCACCAAAAAAGTAGTATAAGACAAACAATATTTGCTTATATGTTTTTCTGGGAGCAAGAAATCACACAAAAAATATGAAAAGATCTTTTACTTTTTCTGGGAGCAAAACTCACAAAAAAAAAACATGTGAAAAACAAAATGTTCTTATATTTTTCTGGGAGCAGAATCCCACCAAAAAAGTTAAAAGTTTGTTTCTTATATGTTTCTTGAGCAAAGTTCCACCAAAAAAATAGCAAAAAAATGGTTGCGTGGCTAACTTTGGGACCTCAAGATTCTAATTTTTTTTGGACCTGCGGCGGGCAAACCCTTCAAGTCCTAATATATGTGGAGACTTCAGAATTGTCGTAAAAAAATCAGTCTAAGAACCTTGAAAGGAACTGGTGTAACTGTCCTCCCAGAAAAGATATGTGACATAACTATTCTTATAATCTTTTGTGTCTGGAACTTTACTCCCAGAAAGCAATTATAAGATTATTTGGTGGAACTTCGTTCCCAGAAAAATATATAAAAACGTTTGTTCTTATCTTTTTGTGGAACTTTGCTCTTTGCTCCCAGAAAAAAGAATATAGACAAATGTTGTTCTTATACCTTTTGTGGATGGAGCATTCCTCACCAAAAGCCTAATTATTATGTTTATACGTTTCTTATAATTTGATTGTTTGCGTGTTCCTAAATTGGGTGCCCAAAAACAAAAAAAAGTGTGCCTGCGGCGAGCAAATTCTTAAGTTATTTTTTAAAATGTTCTTTTTATGTTTTGCTCCTGGAAAACAGTATAAGAACACACTTGTTTCTTATGCAGTTTGTGTGGGGCTTTGCTGCCAGGAAAATTATAAGAAAACGTTTCAAAAACAAATAAACAACACAAAGCGGCAGCGAAACAGATTACCCTTGGATCTTGGCTTTTTTGGGTAGATGTCAAGCTTTAAAGCAGATCGCTCCATTGAAGGAGGTTTACCTTGAGGGCCCAAAAGAACTTGTTCTACACATTTATTGGTGGCTGAAAGGTAAACATGACGGGTTTTGAGTAGGGGAGGGCACGGTATTCCTCGAACTGCTGAGTGTGTGGGTAGATTGCAACCAGAGCAACTTGGTCTTCGAGCCGTGAAAAAGAGGAAAAGCTGCTTTGCGCTGAGAATTTCACCCCAGGTAGCCCCCAGCCCATTATAATTTATAAAATTTTGAACTTCAATTATAAACCCTGGGTTGTGAAATTCCATCGGCATGCCAGAGAACAGGTTGCAGCGGGTAAGCGTTGAATTGCTCGAGTTGCCAGACTGAAAACGGCACTCCACATGGGGTGCATGATGCATCTGTTGAGGGCAGGAATGGGCGGACAGATGGCAGTGGGCAAGCGTTGGAGGCGTTTTCTACTTTCTCTCTCTACTCATGCAAATGTCTGCAATATCCACTTCACTACATAGAGATACGCTTTGCCCGACGTTCACCAATCACTTCATCTTGCACGCTCAAGGGGCGGCAATATCAACTTCACCACTTCTAGCCCTCTACCTATATACATACGTGTCCCTCCCGAAGCCTTGCCGATAACCTCGCCCCTCGGCCCCCCAGAACCATATTTGCTCACTGATTGCGCCACACAGCAAGCTACCACTCTCACTTCCTTCGAGGGTACCCTTTTTCACTTCCAAAACGAGCCCGGACCACGACGAAAAAAGACACCCCCCCGAACCTGTGTACTATACTATATTTTCTGTTTCTATCTCCTATCAAGTGGCTACGATGTCAACTTCAGCCAATCCCTTCATCTCGGCGCTCCAATAGCTGCAAAAACCACCTCACCACTTCCAGCCCTCTACCTATACTATATACATATACGTCTCCTCCCAAAGGCCTGGCTCCCCATAACCATCTTTGCTCACTGATCGGCGCCGCGCAGCAAGCTACTACCCCTCACTTCCTTCGAGGGTGCCCTTTTTCATCTCCAAACCGTGCCCGAACCGCGACGAAAAAGGGCACCTTCCCGAACCTGTGTACTATACTTTCTGTTTCTCTTTCTATGAGAGTGGCTGCGGTGTCAACTTCACCACTTCCAGCTACTCTCTCCCCACTCTACCTATACATATATGTCTCCTCTTATAACCTCGCCCCCTCGACCCTCCATAACTATCTTTGCTCACTGATTGACGCCTGTGCTGCACTACAAGCTACCACCCCTCACTTCCTTCCAGGATGCCCTTTATCACCTCCAATACAAGCCCGAACCACGACGAAAGCAGGCACCCTCCCCCGAACCTATGTAATATACTTTCCATTTCTACCTCCTTGCGAGTGGCCGCGATGTCAACTTCACCACTTCCGGCTACTCTTTCTCCACTACCCTCTAACACACCCCTGACCTAAAACGAAAACAAGCGGCCATGCCTGCAAACGCCAACCTAACCCTAAGGGCACCCCACTTAGCGCAAAGGCTGGCTTTCGTCCCCTCCCTTCTCAGGTTTTGCTACTATTATATTGGCGTTTGTTGATGGGAAACTAAGAATATTCCAAGCTTCCGATGTGCCCGCACAAAGCCGGAAGGAGCTTCTTCAAAACTTATCGGAAGAACAGGCCTGGCTTCCTTACAATTTCTTTTTTGTGACATGGTGGCTGTGGATTCTGTGGGGGGTCTTTTAGCAAGCGATGCTAACAAGGTTGACTTCAAAAGTACTTTTGTCCAGGAAAAAGTGAGCGTGGCTCAAAAAAAGCAGGCCATTGCTGGTAGGGAACTCCATGCGCAAGGGATTGTGTTGCTCAGGCTGTGAGACACAGAAGGGTGGAGAGAGAGAGATAAAAACAGAGACCAAATGCATTTGCAGGATGGACAAGTTTCGGCCGCCCTTCAGCGTTTGGATGTACTTGAGGTTGGGTGAGAGCACAACACAGTTTACGGCCTTTTTGGTTGTGGCATGACATTCCAGATTTGCATTGCGGTTTTGCAGGCCAGCTCTGCAGTTCTCCCTCAAATTCAGAGCCAGCTAGAGAGCATCAAGCAGCAGACACAGGTGTGGGGGGCAAACATGTGGTCTGATTCCTGAAAGATCAGGAGGGGCCAATTGCACAATGTGTCAATTAAACTACTGTGAATTCTTTCGGGCCCGGCATGCACCAGTGACACCAGCGGTTCTCAGTTTGTATCATAGTGTCTCCAGAGATGTCAGTGTCTTCGTTTTTATCATTTGAGGAGCCCTCAAAGTATCAACTTATATATATAGTATAGAGCGGTCGTGACATTTTGGAAGTTGGCCTGGTTGCGACGGATGTTCATGTCGTTGTACATATTATTGCATATTATATATTCTCATTTTGCTATATATATATATATAATTCTAAGTTCGTCCATGTTGGGCTCGCAATTGTAAGCAAGAACTGAAAGCATGAGGCGCAATGGACTCAGATTTGCGTCCACCACATAACCACGAACACCGTAAACACTGTCAAGTGCAACGAGGCCACTAAGAGTGTTTCATGATTTGGTAAATTTCTGATAATTTGTACAATGTAAAGACGAGAGAAAACCAAAACAAATTATAGGCTACCAGCGGACAATGGTTATGATCGGGCAATGAAAAGGACATGACCAATAATATGATTAAAAAACCAGGAAGCAAGGGTGGAATCAAACCACCAATAATGGTGCACCTCAAACTCAGGCGAAACGACCGCTTTACCCGTTAGCAAACTGTTACGGTTTTTACTTTGTCGGACAACATGTTTCAAGAGTTTGCTTTGCTTTTTGTTCTACTCACCTTCAAGTAATGCATCAGGGCTAACTGTTCCTCTCAATTTGCAAATGAGACAAAGCATGGGCTCAAGATTCAACTAGCCTCCGCAGTTGCAGAATGTTTTGAAGCCAAAGCTGGTTTCAAACCTGAAAGTGCTTGAAGCCTTTGAAGCACGCGCTCATACCGCATACCGCTTGTAAGATCATACACCGGCTTAGAAGGAAATTGTGAGCAGTGGCTTTTTGTCAGGGCATTCTTGGTGACTTGGTGGTGTCAATCTCTCACTTGGTGTGGCATGCACGGGACACTTGGTGATATGATGCAGCTATAGTTAAGTGTTCAAGGAAGCTCCCCCCGACGCCTAGTAGTAGCTTGCTGCATCCAAGGAGCTATCCTGCGTCTAAGATTGTAGCTTGCTTGTAGGTACTAGTGACTCCCTAGCTACTAGCTACCTACTCTAGCTACCTACCATACCTACCTCGCGGCCTACCCCCCCGCCCGGTTCTTGTTACTAATAGCTTCTTGTTACTTGTTACTACTAGTAAGGGCACTTGTTACTACTAGCGTGGCACTTGTTAGGAGTAGTAACAAGAACTTCCACTTTTGGCGCGGCGTCACAATGGTCTTTACTTCGTCAATGGGTCCCGCGCCTAATCTCACTTTGTTTCATCCAGCACTTACTCCACCACTGTTCTCTAATCTCATTTCGTCAGAAACCTTCCGTTATTCAACTCTAGATTTGGGCCCTTTTGCTATTCAAGTTGTTTCCCCGAAAACAGCGATGAATAGGAAGAAATACTGTGCATTTGAAGGAAGAAACACATTTTAGCGGCTGCAACAGTCTTACCTGTTCCCTGCTTGTTCGCTGACAAAGGCGCTGGAAGAAGCTACGCGTCAGCTTCGCGAACAAGAGGCTGGAAATCGGAGGGGGACAGCTTGCCCAAATAGCATTTGGTGTGTGAGCACCAGAGTTGCTCAATTTGAACGGTATATTTTTGCAGAGTATGCACCTTGTTTTCAACTTGGCATGGCAGGCGCAGCTCTCCAGCCAGGCAGCTCGCCTCACTCTTTTGGAGAAGCAGGCCTGGGACTGAATGTGTTTGGTGGGGGGGGGGGAGGTCTATGCTGCAAGTGTTGTGTACATCTATGTTCCGCGTAAAGTTTGCGCACTCAACTCAGGTGGACGATCGCTTGACATCCTTGGAGGGCAAGGTTGGGTAGCAAGTCACAAAAAGTAGCTTCAGCTACCTGAGTTCTCCTTGCTTTAGCAAAATGTATTTCAATCTGGAGTTGGGATTGTGCATTGAGTTTGGCCTTGTAAGGGATTCTTCTTCACGGGGGGCCCCCCGGGATCAAAACCTGCGCCGTCACTGTTTGGGTCACAGTCAAGGAGTGAACAGGAGTTCGAACAGAGCTTTGACTCGAGTACTGAAAGACCAACGATGATGCGAATGTGAAAGATTTGCTACCTTTCGTTCACCCCCTCCTATCTCAAGTTCAATCAATGAGTTCTTTCTGTAATGTGTTTTTTTGTAGTCTTCTAGCGAAGAACCTCCACGATCAAAGGCGCATGGGCCATGCCGACCTAAATTATTTTGAGGTGACCGTCTCCTCTCCAAATAATTTTTTGAAATAATATCCATGAAGTATTATTTGGAAAGGCATGTAGGTGGTGGGTCAAAATAATATCTACCATGTAGAAAACATATAGTATGGCATGTTGCAAAATAGTATAATATTATTTTGATTGTGAATAGAGATGAGGTCCCAGTATAATTGCTACATGGACACTTGCCATAAACATTTGGCTCAAGTGCCCAACCAGGCGAAAAGGAGCTTTTGCGCGCGAGCTTCATGTCGAACTAAGGGCTTGAACGGGGCCAGGGCACGCTTTCCATCCGTTCGCAGGTTATCAGCCGTATCCAGACTCCTTTGAGCTGGGTACGAGCTACGGCCTTACACAACACCATCTAAACGCACACGCATCGGATAGATCAGTTACCCTCAGTCACTGAAGATGGACCAATCCGACGCCAGCACTGCATCCTTTGGAGCAGCCGCTGCGGCAGCAGATCGGGTGAGTGCATCCCATAACTCTAGTCCAGGTACGATCGAAGCGGAGACTCTGACAGTGGTGAGAGAAGTTGCGACAGGTAGAGCACGAAGTCGTTCCCCGTCAGCGCACTCGACACCACCGGGGGGGACACCGAGATCGGGCCGTAGCCCTAGGGAGACAAGGAGGAGAACTGACACCGGAGCTGTGAGAGTGCTAGCATTGGAGGATGGGTCAACTGTACCAGTGCCATCGGACAGCGAAGCTGGAGATGGAGCAAGGGCAAGCACCGACAACCTACAACTAGCACGGGCCGATGGAGACCTCAATGCGAAGTGTGCACAACTACTTGCCGAAGTGCATATGTTGAACCACCAAAACGCATGGATGGTCGAATGTGAGCAGAGACAGAACCAGATTATACAACACGAGACCGAAGTCCACGAAGTAGTGATGACACACCTCGAAGAATGTTATGTCGAAGGATATGGAAATCAACGAAGAATCTCCCAACTTACAGAATCTAGAGACTGTTTGCTCTCAGCAGCACACGATTTGCAATACCAGATTGACACTGATCGTGTGGCAATGCGGGATCGTCTCACCCAGCTAGGGGAGTACGCTGATCGCAACAGCGCAGAGATGGTTAGTCAAGTTGTGAACATCGGCACGGAAGAGATCCAGGCTATATCGGCGGAAAGAGATCGAGCCGTAACCGAACTCATGACTGCAGTCGCAGATGCTGAGAACATTAGGGATCTGTATAGGCAGGAGATAGTTGGACTACAAAGGCAGAGTGTCAGGAACAAACACGAATATGCCGAGGAGATGAAGATGAAGGAAGCAATGTATACAAGCAAGATCAAATGGTTATCAGAAGAGAATGAGGAGCTCAACAACCGATCTTATAACCAGGACAATTTCATCATGACCATCAGAGAGCAATTGAAGAGGGCGAATGAAGAGGTGGCACAGGCGAGGATTCAAGGATCCGGTCGACCGTCTCAAACATCCAACGCCGAACTCAAGAAAGCCGAGGTCAAGATGAACATGTTGGAGGAGGACATTCTACGTAAAGAGAGGATGTTGAAACGTCTCCAGGAAGAATTGATCGAATCAAGTGCAAGTGAAGCACAACTGAAGGTCGCACTGGAGTTGAAACCACAAGACATGGGATCAGGATGCAATGTGGAGAACGAGATGATGACCAAGCTTAGAGCGGAACTTGGACGTACCGAAAAGTCATTAAGGTCCGAGGAGAAAGAGGCGATGGAATATTACGAAGGTATGATGCAGAACCAGCAGGACATGATGGAATTCGAAGCGCATGCAGCACGGCTCAGAGATGAGAGGAATAAGTACCGGAGGAGATACGAAGAGGAACGCTCGAACGCTGAGAATGCGGCCGCAACCGAGTATGGTGCCGCTTCATCCTCTAGCTCGGGTGGCTCCAAGATATCTCGGAAGGAACACGAGAAGATCAACATCCCTGCATGGCCCAAGATACACGACTTGGAGGTTTGGAAATCCCAAGTTGTAGCGGCAGTCGTGACCGCATCGGGCGACGAAAGACAAGAAGATTGGATCCAGTGGCTCTCGGATGCCTTCAAATCACCATACGACCCATTTCTGCTCGAGACATCGGGCGAAGCAAGATTCGCTAGCATAGATGCTAAGCTAGGCATCACCCTACACGCGATTATCCACGCAGCAGGTGAGAGATCTCATGACGTACAACTGAAGGTGAGGCAGATGATGCAGAGGCGTGCGAGAGGCACAACCCCGGGAATGGTTAAGGGACGAGAAATGTTAGCGTTGATCGTCGATAGCTTCCGGAGTGCCGACAACGTCGATGTGATGTATGCATCCAAGCACTTATTCGATCTAAAGTTCCCTGGAGATAATCAACTATCCAGATTCCTTGGACAGTGGGATGAGATCATATCAGGTATGGATGCGGATGACATGCTTCCTGACAAAGCACTCCGCAACCTGCTTTGGGACAAGATTAAAGATTCCAAAGTTATGGCGTTAGACTTGTCCGTGTACGACAACATGTTGGATAAGGATCCGGATAAGACCTATCAGAAGTTACGGGAGATCATGGCGAAATGGATACGGAAATCAATCGAGACCACAAATAAGAAAGAAAGGGAAAAAGCTTTTGGGAACCTCATGAAGGCTACACCAGCGGAGAAGAAGGACCCTAAAGCGAAGCCCAAGAATACCAAGGCCGATCCACCGAAGGACGCCGCTCCAGTACTTCCTCAGAATAATCCGAAGGATCACCAAAAGAAGGACAAGAAGCAGGATCGTGGAAGGTCAACCACGAAGAGCCCGAAAGGGGACCGTGGCAGGTCAGCGACTCCGGCAGACACGTCCAAGATAGGATGCGCCTTCCACTTCTATGGGAAAAACGGATGCTCTAGAGGAGACAAATGCAAGTTTAGTCATCAAGAGAAGCACAAGAGTTCTGCTAAGAAACCAGAAAGCCTCAAGGGTGACAGATCAAAGAGTCCTGATGGCAGGAGCACTAGCCCCAAGCCAATGAAGGATCAGGTCTGTTGGAATTGGCAGAAAGGATCGTGCAAGTTCGGGGACAAATGTCGTCGCCAGCATCACGCTGCTCCTGCTACAAAACAAGAGGCTAAAGGCAAAGCCAAGCCCAAACCGGCTGCGCCAGCCTTCATGCTTTGCGGAGACATCGAGAGTGATGGCGAGGACGCGCAACCCGCACTTCCCAATGTACAACAAGGTAAGCTGGAGCTTCGCTCTAAAGTCAGATTCGATGACCGGGCGGATGTGACCACGTTTACCTGCGATCCTGGTAACGAGCTAAATATCCGTCCCCTCAAGAAGAAGAAGGACGAGGTGCAGAAGATGGATACCGAGATCATTTCGTCGTTGAGAACCCTCAGAGTGAACAGCATAGCTGCACGAGTAGCGCATGCCAAAGGCAAGATGATGGAGCTATACTCTGCTGAACACATTGCCAAGGCATGGATACAAATCACTCAAGATGAAGGAATCGAGGTGAACGTCGACCTGTCTGACTTCAACACCAGCGAGGTAGTAAGGAAAGATTCTGTCAAATACACGATACCGGGAGATGCGATGTTCATGGCCGTGGAGAGGTATGATGGACCACCGATACGCTTCATCATGGACACGGGATGTGGGCACGACTTGATCTCAAGAGAGAAAGTCAACGCCATGGGCCTTACCACTAAGGAAGGACCCAAATCCGTGAGCTTCATGACAGCGAATGGAGTAACTAGTACATCGGAGATGGTGGACATCAATGTGGACGAACTACCCATGATGTCCGAGGCACACGTGTTGGAGAGCACACCATCAGTTTTCTCCATCGGGAAACGATGCATGGAGCAAGGGTATTCATTCATATGGCCGGCGAATCAGTTGCCATACCTCATCGACCAGAACGCGAACAAGATCCCGCTATCGGTGCATGACAACATACCCTACATCAAAGTGAATGATGATGACGGGAGATGTTTACCAAGATCAGACGACCTGGCCACGATACTTCATCGCATATTGTCAGGTGTGGAGTGTGAAGACGAGGCCACAGCAGGTCAGGAGACACAACAAGAGGAACCTCCGCCTAAGAAACCTCGAAGACGGAGGAGAAAGAAGAGAGATAACCAGAAAGATCGGAGTGAGGAATCTGACATCAATCCAGCCGTTGTAGGCGACGAAGGAGAACCAGAGGGACACGGCGATGACGGATATTCTCCTGAAGAGGGACATGACGGGGAAGACCCGGGAATCAATAGTGACCTCGATGGCCAACCTGAAGAAGCCGAAGACGACGAACATGGAGGTGATGCGGATTCTGAACGAGAGGAGAGTGACATTGGTGAAGACGAAGAGGGGTTATTGGAAGTCGATGTGGTTGACGGGGAAGCCAGAATGTCAAAACCAGGAGTGCTGAAGAATGAGGCGAGATCCATATTACACCTGATGACGCACCGATATAAGAACCCATACTGCAAGTCATGCGTGAGAGCAAAGATGAAGCACTACAAGACTAGCAAGGGAGCTTTCAAACGGAAATTGAAGGCATTTGGTGACCTTATCACCTTTGACCTCATGAACACCCAGAAGATGGCGAGAGATGGGATCATGCCGGATAAGG